ATGAATAAATCCCAAAAAATTGTAAAAAAAGAAAAATAAAAGGCACTCCATAAATTTTAATTGGGTCGAAGCCCAAACCGACCAACCCAACACAAACCTGATAAGGTTGGATTGTGTTGGGTTGGGTTGATTTTAGATCAAACCGACCATATCGTTTTGAATTTGGGTTAGGAAAAAAATCGACCCAACCCAACCCAACCCAACCCATTCACTCCCTTAGTCGAAACAATCACCGGATGCAATAAAATTAAAAGAAAGTAACACGAGCAAAACACCAATGAGGGGTATACAAACACCAGATGAAGAAAGTGGACTGCATTGTGATACAAACTATCCTTTCGACAAAATTTAATTAATTAATCACCTTTCTTTTCACTGTTTATAACTCCAATAATAAATGTAGATCAATTGAGATTTGCAAATTGATCATTACCTCAAAAACTATCATCCTAGATCTACAAAACAACAAATCAAAAAATTAATACAATAACTTCAATCATAACTACCTTCTCTTTCCACAGGTGGTCATTCTCTTCCTCTAGACCCTTATTCCTCAAATCCAATCCCAATATTCTTGCCTAAAATCATCAAAAACATAAATAAATAAAAAATGAATTTAGATTATAAATATTTTCGGTATGGAACAATAGTATAAATCTTACCTTGAGTTTTTTTAGATTTTTGAAAATCTTCAAGAGAATCAAGATGTAGCAATCATGTGTGGGAAATTATAGATTTTTTAATGAAGAGAGAAATAGGCTATTCATTTCCTCTCTTTTAAGCGTGTATCATTTATTTTTAGGGATTTAAGGGGTTTTTGGATTGGGGAAATTTTTTTGGCTCATTTTTCCTATGAGGCCCCTTGAAATTTGAGGCCCAAAACAAGGCCTAGTTTACCTTAGGCTAGGGCCGGCGCTAGATGGCAGATACAGGGTAGGGCATGGGTTTGCTTGTGATGTGCCTTTCAGGTGATCATGTTTTGAACCTCTCTAAACTAGACATAACAAATTTTATGAGACTCGTGAAGAGAAAAATAATAAATTTGCTTTTCACGGAATTATCATTGTATTATATTCAAGAAAAATTGATAGATTCATCTTTATCATAAATCAAGACACATGGATTGGGACTGAGGTTGGCTACGATGAACATATGGGAACTACGTGTGTATCTAGTTTAAAAAGGTGGCCACCCATATATATATCTCTCCAAAACGTGGTTGGTGGGCTGAATATTATCAAGAGTTGTGGCTATGCGTGAGAGACAAAAACAAAGGTTGCTGTTGAGGTATTAAAATAGTGGCAGATTTATGTACATATTGGGAACGTTAGCTGGAGAAAGAAGAAAAAAGGGGAAGTTGAAGAAAAGGGATTTTTTTTTCCTCTCTATCTTTTAGGTGTAGATTCACACAAGTTTTTTTTCTTCTCTACATAATACAAATTGGGATTTTCTCTAAGGTGTATTTTGGGTACTCTAGAGGTGTAGATTCAAAGTGAGTTTTCACAAGGTTAATCGAATTGGTGATCTGTGGTGAGATTATTTGTTGTCCTTAGAGATTAATTATTGTGGTATTTCCAATTTGTTGTGAATTCAAGGTTTGGGACATAAATTTGAATATTGTAATCTATATTTTTATTATTGTGGATTTTAGTCTGAGTTGCCCCATGATTTTTTATTCCTCTACACTAGAGGGTTTTTTCACATAAAAATTTGGTGTTAAGTTTTGCTTGTTTTTACTTTGATCATCTATTTGCATATTCAATCACTCTAATTAGTTGCTTGGATTGGTGAATTTATTCTTGCAATAAGTGAAATTGCCTAACAAAGTGGTATTGGAGCTTAGGTTGCATGGGTGTGATTTATTGTGAGAATAAATGGATAATATTTTGGGTACTACGATTAAATTATCGACTTCAAATTATTCTATTTGAAAACTTATGATAGAGGATATCCTTTATTGTAAGAATTTATATGAACCTATTGAAGATAATGTTGCCAAGCCAAGCTATAAGAGTGATAGTGACTAGAAGAAGATGAACAGGAAAGCCATTGGATATATTAGACAATGTGTTGACCTTAATGTATTCCTTCATTTATCTCAAGAGATTGGTGCCATAGTCTTGGGGAAAAATTAGATAATCTCTGTGAGAGGAATACTGCTCAAAATAAAGTTTTTGCTATTAGAAAGCTTGTGAATTTGAATGTACAGGAGGAAAAATCAGTTGCTGAGCAAATGAGTGAATTTCTGGACTTGATAAATCAGTTCACCACAATGAAAATAGTGCTAGATGATAAGATGCAAGCACTATGACTTTTGAGTTCATTGCTGATAGTTGGGAGACTTTATGTTGAGTGTGATAAGATGTTCAATTGATTCGCAGTTTGAAAGTAGATCTGTTCAAGTCGTTTGACATAAATGATCTTGGACCAACAATGCAAATTTTGGGGATGCATATTCATCATGATAGGAGAACCAGAAAGTTATGGTTATCACAGGAGAAATATGTAGAGAAAATGCTAGAAAGGTTAAATGTGAATAATGCTAAACCTGTTAGGACACCACTTGGTAATCACTTCAAACTGAGTAAGGTGACTTGTCCTTCTAAGGAAAAAGATAAAGAAAGAATAGCAAAGATTACTTATTCCTTTGCGGTTGGGAGTTTGATGTATGCTATGATTTGTATACGGCTAGATATTGCTCATACAGTTGGGGTAGTCAGCAAGTTTCTTGTTAATCTCGATAAAGATCATTGGGAGGCATCGAAATGGGTCTTTAGATACTTGAGAGGTACTTCTAAGATGTGCTTCACTTTTGAAGGTTCAAAACTAATTTTGGAGGGCTTTACAGATGCATATATGGCTGATGATCTTGATGGTAGAAAATCAACTTCAGGATATTTGATTACTTTTGCAGGGGGAGCTATCTCATGGCAGTTAAAATTACAAAAATATGTTGTCTTATCTATAACTAAAGTTGAGTATATTGCAGCAACTGAAGTAGCAAAAGAAACGCTTTGAATGAAACAGTTTCTTCAAGATTTGGGTTTGAAGCAAGATATGCATATAGTTAATTGTGACAGTCAGAGTGCATTAGACTTGAGCAAAAATGCTACTTATCATTCTCGGACGAAACACATTGATGGGAGATATCATTGGCTATGACAAGTAGTAGCAGAACAATTGATATTGTTAGAGAAGATTCATATTGAGAAGAATCCAATTGATATGATGACAAATGTTGTGATTAGAGAAAAGCTTGAGTTTTGTGTCGAACTGGTCAGCGTGTGCTCTAACTAATTTGTTAGAAGATAATTTCCTTTCTCAGTGGGCTGGAGGGGGAGATTGTTATATGGGCTCCAGCCTATGATGAATAAAAGGCTCAAACACCACTTTAGTTTTATCCAGGTTAAAAAGATGGCCACCCACATATATATCTCTCCAAAACGTGGCTGGTGGGCTAAATATTATCAAAAATTGTGCCTATGTATGAGAGACCAAACAAAGGTTTCTGTTGAGGAATTAAAATAGGGCAGATTTATGTACATATTGCGAACATTGGCTGGAGAAAGAAGAAAAATGGGAAATTGAAGAAGAAGAATTTTTTGTCTCTCAATATTTTGGGTGTGGATTCACACAAATTTTTTTCTTTTCTACATAGTACAAATTGAAATTTTCTCAAGGTGTATTTTGGGTACTCTAGAGGTGTAGTATTCAAAGTGAATTCTCACAAGGTTGATCAAATTGGTGATTTGTGGTGAGATTGTTTGTTGTCTTTAGAAATTAATTATTGTGGTGTTTCCAATTTGTAAAGAATTCAAGTTTTGAGGCATAAACTTGAATATTTAATCTATATTTTTAGAATAGTAGATTTTGGCCGGAGTTACTGCGTGATTTTTTACCTCAACACTGGAAGGTTTTTTCCATGAAAAAATTTGGTTTGCGTTTTTCTTGTTTTTAATTTAATCATCTATTTGCATATTCAATCACTCTAGTTGGTTGCTTAGAGTGATGAATTTATTCTTGCAATAGGTGAAATTGCCTAACACTAATTTGATTAATTTATAATTATTGATTGTGATAATTATAATCTGACAATAAATTATGATTAAGCCCCTGTTTTATAAAATTAAAATTTGGATTTTAATTTAATTCAAAACCAACAATTAGTTTTAACACATGTTTCATGTGATTTATAACTTTTCAACCATACATTTTATTAAGTTGAAGCATATTTTAAGTCTATGTTTTAGTAAACAAAACTAGTTAAGAGTATATTTTACTTTTTGTAAATAATTTACCCTAGGCAAAGTTCTTTATAAAGGAATTAGTAAATTTAATAGTAAATAAAATTTTATTCCAAAAGAAAAAATTAAATTATTTATTTTGATTGTAATTCTTATTTTCAATTTAAAAAATAACTGATTTATTCAAGCATATTTTAAGTCTAATCTCATATGTTTGACAATAGTTTATATACGTTGTCCCATTTTTCATGTCCCCTACATTTTCTCAATGAAATTTTCACATATTACCACAATTTTAAGTTGTCAAATTTTTAGAGGTCGCATCTCATCTCAAAATTACAATAAGATTTAATAAGGATTTTGACACCTTAAAATTATAGTGAGATGTCAAGATTTTATTGATTGGACAAAGAAAATGAGACAAATACAACATATCTCGACTCTACAGCTGGACGGCTAATTTTAACTTGGTTACTAAACATTCGTGGGAATCTCAAGTGTGTCATCCAACTGCAATATTGTCCTAATCAAATTATAAAATTTGAATTTACGTTCAAAATTATGATAACACGTCTGATAACTAGCATTATTCTGATCTACAACGGCGGGATTAGTTTTTATCTTCCCTTTGCACAAAGTCATGACCACGTGGCTTAGTCTGTTTTGAGTAGAGAAAGAAGGGAAACTTGGTGTGAAGGTTGCATTAAGATAGTGATTTGTTAATATGAATCCATCCATTGCTCAACCTACTTGATGCACACTTGCCTTGAGAGATTTTTAGTTCTCTGCTTGATTTTTACTTTACTTTTAAAGTGAAAATCGAAATGTCTACTAGGATTTCTGTTTTTAATCGAAATCATGGCCTAATCTTGAAGTGTCATCCTGATTAACTGTGCTTTTCTTCAAAGTTTTGAAGTTTCTTTGGAGTTGGGAAATTTCGGCCACCATAGCCTCAAAATTTCTTGTTCTTGATTTGATTTTTACGTCAATCCTTGGGCAAAAATCTAATTCAAGTAAAGATCTTGCTAGGATGTCTGGTTTTGGTTCGATTCTTGATCCTCTACTTGGAAGAATTCGTTTTGTTCTCCTGGAAATTTGGAATTGAAAATCCGTCCAGATTGTTCTTGGAGTTGTTTCATTTCTTGGTTGTGCAAATTCGAGCCAGCCTTGAATCTATGTCGCACCCGCTGTTTCAGCAGATTCTGACAACTAGTTTGGGGTGCAAGAATCAAGGTGAAGCCGAAATTTTTTTTGGAAAGTGCAAAATTTTAGGCTGATATTGCAAGGTAGCCATTTTATTTTATTTATTTATTATTATTTTTTTTTCATTTTAGCATCATATAGGGAAGAAGTCAAACAGCCATAATGGTGGGAAGTTACCAAAAATTGCACTTGGTAGGTTACCAAACTCTAAATTTGGTAAGGAGCCCAATCAAGATGGTAAGTTACCAAATACTATACTTGGTCAAGAGCCCAATCGTGGGTTGGATGTCTTAATTCCAAATGAATTTCCAGCACTTGGTAAAAATTTTGGAGACTTAACAATTGTGGTTGGATCCATTTCAAACGAATTTCCAGCACTAGGAAAAGATGATGACAGTTCTTTATCCAATCTCGTTGATTCTACTAAGGCCTTCTAGGAGGAATTTGACTATGAAAATTCGAAATCTCCAAGTTTGTCCCAAACATTTGGTGATGAGGATGCTGAATCTAAAGAAAGATCGACTACAATACATCAGGTACTTTTCAAGCTCAAAACTTGAGAAAACTTGTCGGATATACTGTTTTTCAAAGATGACCTTGATGATGATCAAACAACACGAATTTGCTATTTGGTGGGGGGGTACTTTGCTTGACGTTTCCCGGGTAAAATAGCTCTCTTGTAAGTGAGTGGTTAATGGGGGGCGGGGTCAAGTACCAACACTTTGTACACCAAAGTGGATAGCTAGTGTTTGAATTTGAGAATTTCGACGATAGAACCCAAGTGTTTGAAGGCGGACCATATTTTGTTTATGCATGGTAGACCTCTAATGTTGAAAAACATACAATCATTTTTCAAGTTCGATAATGGTGATATTAGCATTCTACTGATGTGGGTATCAATTCTAGGATTGCCGTTGAATTTTTGGACGCCCAACGCATTGACTATGATTGCAATAAAGATTGGAAGCCGATTACAATTGAATTGCTGACGATAACAAAGGGACGGTTATCATTTGCTCGAATTCTTGTTAAGTTCGATGCTTTATAGGATCTGGTTCGCATGGTAAAGATGGCACTTCCAAGTGGCAAAGTGAGAGATCAACTAGTTTACTATGAGCACGAGCCAAAATTTTGCGCCACTTGCAAGATATTTGGGCACAAAACAGATGCATGCCAAGGGAAAATGGTGCCTGCCATCCATGAGTGCTATTCTTCCTAAGAATGTGGCAGGGAAAACGGGGACACAGGGTAGTGAACACGACCAGAACATTGCTGGGAGTTCAGGTCAGCAAGCTCAAGATGGTCAGAACATTGATTGTAACTCAAGTCAGCCAACAATCGAACAGAACTGTTCATTGGAAACGGCCAATACACGGTCTGATCCGAATGGCCAGAACGTTAGTGAATCTGGACAGGCAGAATCCACAAGCCAAAACAACGCACAATGAGGTGCTCAACTGGCTACAAATGAGGATGATACACCCCTATCATAGAGGTAGACATGAAATTTAAACCAGTGCATGTGGCTAAGGGTCCGATTCCAAAACGAATTAACCACAACCTATCTCGAGTGATAAAGTGCATCTAAAGAAGTCAAGAGCAGAAATTGAATCACCTAACTTACATGACAAAAATGAAGATCTTGATCCCTGCAGCAAAGGCAACAATTAATGATAAAGCTTAAAAGAAAACTTGATATGCAACCAGCTAAACAATTGTAGAAGGATAATAAGGTGGGGTTCGCCACCTTATTAAACAACGATTTATTGATGTTTTATTGTTTTAGACGAAAATCAACCAAGATAAGTTAGCTTGGATCATGAGGAACAAATTCGGTGGTTGGAGACATGTTGATAACTTTCTCTTACATCCGGCAGGGAGAATATTGGTCCTATCGTATCAAACAAAAATCGACCTTTGTATCTTGGAAGCTGCCCCGCAGGTTATACATTGTGAAGTAACTTGCAAGGTAACTTTTATCACATCCTGTTTAAGTTTTTTTATGGTTTCCATTCTATTGTTACTCGGAGGACGTTATAGAGTAACTTGATGGATTTTGGAGCTTTATGTTGGGTGATCTTAACAATGTGCTTCGATCCTAGGAAAAATATAATGGAGTGGAGGTAACTCCATACGAGACTAGGGGACTTCACGAATTGTTGTTTAAATGCGTATCTTAAGATTTGATAACCATTGGATGCTATTATACTTGGTCCAAAAATTCATTGGGTAGCATAGTTTCGTTTGGAGCAAGCTCGATTGAACTATGGTTAATGAATTGTGACAACAAGTGGGTTTCATGCCTTAGCTAATTTCCAATTAGCTTCTCTCGGACTTGGGCATTGTCTCAATTTTCTAGCAAGGTGGAGAGAAAGACAAACATTTTAAATGCTTCAATATGTAGACGGCTCATTCAAAAGTTTAGAATGTAGTTTCTTCCAGTTGAAACCAATTGATTTATGGCATGAAACAATTTACTCTTTGTAAAAACTGTTATAGAGGCTCAAAGAAGTTTTGAAGCAAATCAATAAAAAGCACTTTACTCAATTTTCTGTTAGAGCTGAGAAAGCTAGAGATGATCTCAAGGCTACACAAATGGAACTAAAATGATCAGCTGATGAATATCGAATTTCAAATCATGCCACTTTTATGAAAATAAGCCATGAGTACTTGTGATGCAGAGAGAAGTTTTTATTACCGACAAGCCGGAATGTGCGTACTTAAGCAAGATTGATAAATGTACGAAATTATTTCACTCTTTGGCAGCTATAATCAAGGAGGACAGGACTCCTACGAATTCCCAAATGGAGGTGGCGACTGAATTCCTAGGCTACTATCATAACCTACTTGGGACAAATAGTGCATGTGATGCTATCGATCGAAATATTTATGGTGAAGGGCCATCACTTTTTCGGAACATGTGGAATCCCTTGTTAGGGATATTTCTATACATGAGATTAAGGATGATTTGTTCAACATTGAGGATGATAAATCCTCGGGACCATATGGATACAGTTCATACTTCTTTAATAAAGCTTTGGAGAAGATCAAGGGTGATTTTGTTGACGCTATTACTGAATTTTTCGGTCCCAACTCACTCCTTAAATAAATTAACCACACTGTTTGTACCCTTGATTCTGAAAGGCAGCCACTCATCTACAGATAGGGATTTCAAGCCTATTTCATGCTGCAACGTGGTTTACAAGGCTATTGCTAAATCTTATCCAATAGGTATTGACTATTCTTGGTTCTATCATTGACCAATCGTAGGCAGCCTTGTGGTGGGGAGTATCTTGGTTGTAAATGTCCACCTTGCACAAGAACTATTGAGGCAATACAATTGGAAGAGACTATTGCCTAGACGCCTCCTTAAAATCGATCTTTGAAAGGCATATGATTCCATCATTTCGGAATTTATAAATTCTGTTTTAGAGGGACGGGGATTTTCGTACAGAATTATTCAGTGGGTGATTGTATACATCTCAACCCCCTCATTCTTAATTGTAATTAATGGTAGCACGCATGGGTTCTTCAAAGGTAAAAGGGCCATACGCTAAGGTGATCCCTTCTAACCATTCTTATTTGTGATTTGTCTTAAATATTTTTCTAGAGCTTTGAAAGTGGTTATGAATAACACCGAATTTAATTATTATTTGAAGTTTGGGCTCTTGAAAATCACACATCTAGTTTTTGTGGATAACTTAATGTTGTTTTCTAAAGGCGACGATATTTCGGTGCGCATAATGATCCATTGTTTGTCCATGTTTGGTGATTGCTTGGGACTTAGGATGAATGCAAATAAATCCAAAATACTGCTAGAATTCGGGGCAAAGACTTGGATGAAATCCTAGAGTTAGTGGACAGCCGAGAGGGTCCATGTTCAGATATTTGGGATTCCATTAGGTGGAGAAAAATTGAAAGTCAGCCACCATGCTCATTTTTTTGGATAAAAAATTGCTACATATGTACATGCCTGGACGAGCACTTCATTATCTTATGCCAACATGGCTCAATTGGTGAGATCGGCCTTTCAAAGAGTTGAATGCTTTTGGTTATCCATATTTTCGATTCCACACATGGTCACTTTGAGGATTATATGGCTTTGTAAGAATTTCCTTTGGAATTCCAAAAAATCGCTAGTTGCATGGCTGACGTTTGTCTTCCCAAAAGCAAGGGAGGATTAGGATTTTGGAGACTAGAGTGTTGGAATAATGCACTATTAGCCAAGTCATTGTGGAACATACATGCCAAGAAAGACACTTCGATGCGGTGGGTCAATCATGTGTATTTGAGAGAGGCATCAATATGGGAATGGTAATCCAAGAAGGATGATTCACCATTACTCAAAAATAATGTCCATTGCAGAGTGCATTAAGCATATCGAAGGATCAACTCATGCTGCCTATCAAAAACTTTTAGATTGGATCCATTGGGATGATATAAGCATTGCTAAAACTTAGGATTATTTCCGACCGAAGAGGATACCAACGATTTGGGCAAAGGTTGTTTCGAGCACATGCTGCCTATCAAAAACTTTTAGATTGGATCCATTGGGATGATATAAGCATTGCTAAAACTTAGGATTATTTCCGACCGAAGAGGATACCAACGATTTGGGCAAAGGTTGTTTCGAGCACATGCTGCCTATCAAAAACTTTTAGATTGGATCCATTGGGATGATATAAGCATTGCTAAAACTTAGGATTATTTCCGACCGAAGAGGATACCAACGATTTGGGCAAAGGTTGTTTCGAGCACATGCACCACTCATAAACATTCATTTTATCGTTTGGCTTAGTGCAAAAACTAAGCACCTTACCAAAGATCGTCTACAACATATGGAGATTGACAATAAGTGTGTATTCTATCAAGTTGAGACCGAATCAGTCTAGCACCTTTTTCTTTTAATGTGGCATGAGCATGGAAATTTGGGGACAGATCAGAGATTGGCTTAGGATCACTGGAGCCATATCTACTATACCCAGTGCATTGAAAGGAATCAAGAAAGAGGGACGTGGAACATCTTGGAATGTAATGCCAAGAAAATAGCAGTGGCAAGCACTGCTTATCATATCTTAGTAGCTAGAAACACGTTGATCTTTGAAGATCTTAGACTGCATTCCAATAGCATCGTCAGATGAATCAAAATACAAGTATACTAAGTTATGTTCTAATTGTATCATCATGTTTTGTATCATTATGAATCTTTAGCATTGGGCATTTAGATTGATATCATTGAAACATCTTTGGATCTTGTAATCCCAAAGTACTTGTTCACAATTTTTGTTCTATACAAATTTTATTTATCGATAAAAAAAACTTACAGTGGGATTGCACCTATTGGAAATGTAGTAAATTGATGCTCAACATATTTTATTGGTGGTTGCAGTCTACAATCTTTTACAGTTTTTTAGCAATCCTATCCCTTGATGGACATCGTTTCTTTCAATTAAAAACTCTTTTTTTTTCTTTTTTTTTTCAAATTAGAAAAACAGAAAGAAAAGTTCATTGGAAATAAAGAGTAAATTTAGGGAAATACATGGAAATAGCCTTTAGAAAAGGGCCACTTTTCTAAAATGACCTTTGGTCAATTTACATACCAAAAATACCCTTCATTTGGATATTACATAATAAGACACTTTAATATAGAAATCATCTATTTTAGTCCTTAAACTTAAATACTGGTTGAAATTTGATAGTTTTTATTTGATTAATACTTTTTATTTGATTTATTTGATTTTTATTCACTCTAAGTAGAACCCCCTTTACTGGTATTAGAGTCATAGAGATCATGAAAATTAAAATAAGAAAAACAGATAATTATTGGTGTTTAGAAGAAGAAAGATGTGGTCATATATTTTTAAAACCTATTCATAATAGATTAAAAATAATGATACTAACAATAATTTAAGAACTGCTTAAAAAAATAAAGGAACAAATATTAGAAAAATTAATAATAAAAAAAATAAAGATATATATATACATATGAAAAAATTATTAATATATATGAAGATGAAGAAAACAATTTATATTACAAAGAAAAGTATGAGTATAAGTAATAGTACACATTTAAAATTAAATAAATTACTTATAAAAATAGAAAAAATACAAGAGGAAATACGAAATATAATGTTAATACCAGAAGAAATGAGAATATCAAATAATAAACAATTAATAAAATTAAGATGTGAAAAACTAAGATTTGAGAGCAAATATTTTACTATAGTAAAAGAAGGATTAGTAGATCCAGATACAGTTGAGAGAAGATTTGGAAAAATAATAGACAAAAGGGAAGATAAAATATGCAAATTAACCTATGAGTTAGAAATAAGAAAAAATTAAGATGTCAATAAGTGAATATATGGAAGAATTAAAGTCATTAATAAAAATATTAATAAATGATGTACAAGATTTAAGAAATGAAGTAAAAGAAATAAGAAACGATATAAAAATATTAAAAATTGAAATTAGAGAATTAAAAGAAAATAATAAAAATAAAGATAAAAAAATAGATAAAAAACTTATAGAAAAAGAAATGACTCGATCAGGGAAGAAACATATAGAAAAAGAGAATATAGTAATAGAAATAGGAAGTATGGGTGATAAATTTAGAAAGAATATATTACAAAAAATATTAGAAGAGGAAGAAAAATATAGAGAAAAATCATTAGGAAAATTAAAAGTAGAAGAAAAAGAAGATAAAAATGAATGAAGAATTAGATTTCCTAATAAAAAATTTTGATCAATTAGATATAAGTGAATACCAAATTTTAATGAATATTGGAGGAAGACCAATTCAACAGAAACCTCTAAACATAAATTACATGATACAAATGAAAATTATGCACCTATATATAATAAATCATATAGACAATTCTATGATAAAGTAAGATATAGACAGCCATATAAATGAAATAAATATAAAGATAGGTTTGAATTAAATGATAATTATGATAAACTAATTAATCGTGGAGGAACAAAACTAGATTTAGATTGTAAAATAGATACTAAAAAACCTTATTAACTTGGGCAAGTTCAATGATATTATTCTTTTTATATGATTAAGATGACACATGGAAAAATACTGAAAGAAGAATATATTTCTTAATAGCATCTTTCGAAGGAGGTGTTAGAAATTGATGGGAAGGAATAAGCAATGATACAAAAATATTAAAAAATGTACAAACAGAAATAATCAAGTCATATAGACAAGGTATAGAAAAATTAGTAGAATATATTTCAGATGAATTTTTAGGAGAAAATTGGATAAGAAATGTTGAAGGGGAATTAATAAGAGAAAAATATAACGCTAGAATAAAATTAATAAATTTAATAATATGTGATATGTGTAAAATTAAAGAATATACTTGTGAATTTAAAAATTACTATTATATTCAATTTTATAGTAATGAAAATAAAAAAGTATATTTACATGTACTATAATAAGTTACCAGGTTCATGGGGAATATATTTTAAAATAGAATTTGAAAAATATGTCAGAGATAATATTGGAATACCTAAAACTTTAGGTTCAAGAATAAAATTATTATTTTAAAGGTGTATATATATATATATATATATATCAACAAAGACAATTAATGAAAAATTAATTAAAATATGTTGTGAAGATATGAAAACCACTGTACAATGGGAATGTAATCCTGAAAGAAGAATTAATAAAAGAAAGTATAAAAATAAAAAGTTTAAAAAATTTGGGAATTTTAATAAAAAATATATAAAACCTAGAAGAAAATATTACAAAAGAAAAAATAACTCATATAATCAACAGAAAAATAAAAAGAAAAATAAAAGCGAAGGTATATGTTGGAATTGTAGAGAAATTGGTCATATAAACCCTAATTGTGACAAAACTAAAGTTAGGATATTACAAAAAGAATACTTAGAAATAAAAAATGAATTAAGTAAAATATCAGATATTGAAGAATACTATAATAAAAAGTATATATAAGTGAAACAGAGGATGAATCAGGATTTGAATACAGAAATTGAAAAAATAGAAAGTAATAACATAAATATACAAGAATATGAAGGAATACAAGGATATGGATTGAGAGTCACTTTTGATAATAACAAGTTTATAAAATTACAAAAATTATCTTTAAATTTAAAAATAGGAAAATGAAAAGTCTTGAATAGAATTTGAAAAATAGAAAGAATAGCAATAAATGAATATCACACAAAAAAAAAAATCTATAGATGTAAGAACAACTTATGAGCAACATAAATTAAATTTTTTAACAAAAAATACAGTTGAAGAGCTATTAACAAATATTAGTAAAAAATAAAGTGAAAAAATTCAATATGTTTATTTAGCAGGAATACAAATAATGTTTAAATCACTATTTAGAAAATGGATAAATTTACCCTTAACTATAACTTTACATGATGGAAGGATAATAAATTTAAAAGATAATCATTTAGGAATAATAGAAGAAAATTTAACATATCAAAAAATTATGTCTTCATGTTATCCAAAAAATTGTATATCATTAAAAGATAGAAATTTTAATTAAGTTTTAAGTCTGCATTTAAAACTTCATAGAAATGATAACATGCAATTAAGTGATCAAATTATAACTATAGAATATAGAGCTTTATATACATTTATTAATTTTAATTATGGGAATATTTATTCCAATAAACCATATATTGAAGTTCCTAAAGAGTGTAAGGGTATTAGTGAAATAATATAAACAAATAAACTTAATTTCAGAAGAATATGAATTTAGTTTAATAAAAAATAAACCTGAAATAATATAATTAAATGAAGGAGAATATTCTAATAATATTATATTTAACGATGGAAAATTAATTAAAAGATCAAAAGGTTTTAAAATACCTAATAAAAAACAGTTAGAAGAAATCAACAAAATAAAAGAAGTAAAACTATATAGGAATGCTGGAAATATGAAAATAGAAGGAGAATATTATAATAGAAGAGAAAATATAAATGGACCAAATATATTAATAGATACAGGAGATAGTGAATATCATATAACTTTGATTAGGAATAAATGTTTAATGACTCATTAAACTAAGTCATATAAGTACGTAAATTTTGATGGACAAGTACATATTATAGACTTAGAAATTAAAGTACCAATAAAAATAGGAGGAATAAATCTTTTAGTACCATATTACATAGATAAGAGTATGGATATAAATCTCCATCTACTTTTAGGAATGAGTTTTTTAAATGAATTAGAAGATTATAGTATAAAAAGAGAATGATTATATATTGTTCATAATAGACAAACTACATTATGTAAAAAGAATTAGATTAATAATCAGATAAGTTTTCCATTAGTTGTGTATATACAAATTACTATTATAGAAATAAATATAACAAGTAACAATATTAATAAATAGAAGAAGTGATATAACAATATTTAAAAGTTTTTTAATAAAATCATGTAATAATAATAGTAATATAAAAATAACTGAAGTTATAGGAGAAAATACTCAAATAATTAATAATGCTGATAAAGTTAGTATAATTCTTGAAAGTAAACAAGTAACAATAAATAAAATTTATAAATATGATAAATTAGAATGTGATATATTATTAGAAAATGACTTCATACAACAATTTCAATATTATAAACAAAATAATTATATGATAATCCTACAAACACCTTGTGGACACTTATTAAAAATTCCTAGAGTATTTAAATCTTATAAAGTTCAGCCAGCCCAATTTGGTGATAAATGGGAGAAAAAACCAATTATATATAATGAAATAAAAAATAAAAGAATATTATATAAAAATGTTTTGAAAACAGGAATAAAAATAAATATAGAAAAAATCATTTAACAACTAGAAAAGGTTTATAGAGAAAATCCATTATTATTTTGGAAACCACACAATCAAAAGCTAAAATAGAATTAACAAAAAATGTTATAATAAGAGTTAGACCAATCATGTATACTATAGAAGATACATAAGAATTTAAACATCGGATAAAAGAATTGTTAGAACAAAAACTTATTACACCTAGTAATGGAACTCATAGTAGTCCAACTTTTATGGTTATGAAACATTCTGAACAAGTTAGAGGAAGTCATGATGATCATAAATTATAAATAATTAAACAAATATACTAAATTTGATGGTTACTTTTTAACAAATAAAGAAGTATTAATAAGTCTTGCAGGATGAAAACAATATTCTTCTAAATTTGATTATAAATCAGGATTTTGACAAATAAAAA